ATCTGCATGTTTTATTTTAATTTACGTGGTAGTTTTTGTTTTTATTTTTATCTTGCCAAAAACTGTTTACAATTGTACAGATTACAGAACGTTGGTACACTTGTTGTTTTTAAATGTGCTTTATAAATAAACGTGAACTTGAACTTAAAACTTAAAATAATAATAAAAAAAACTTTGACAGCAAACTTTTAAACAGGAGTGTATAAATTAATAAATAATAACTAAATGAGATGCGTAAAAGATAATTACAAACAAAATCTCTTTTAAAAACAGAAATAAGGCATTTTCTTCATGCTTTTATTCTTGTACTCATTCTCTGAGAATTTGAGATACTTAGTAAGACATGACAGAATTTCCAGTAAATGAATATAGTGGCATTTATTATGAGTTCTGGGAATGTTTCATGTATTTGAACAATTTTGACAGTGATTGAACGATTTTGACTCTCTGGTTAGCACACTTGTTTGTAATTGAAATAGGGAGCGGATTTGGACACACCCGGAGTGTATTGTTCTATATTTTTCTTTGTTCTGTCATTGCAGAAATGTGACTTATATATCCTTAGATATTCTATCAAATCACTTTAACAAGTTATAGTTAACTAAATGTGATACTTTTACTCATATCGATGGTATTGGTTCATTCATTCTTTAATTTCATGTTTGCTGAAGTTAAAGATATATTTTGAGAACTTGTTTATAAGTGCTTCTGATCAACGCATCATTTCCAGCCCCTCTGGATTTTTCCATCCGCTACTGCTGAGCTCTCGTCTTCGCTTTGACCAGAGCAGTGAAAGAAGAGAATATCTGAATCTGTCATCAGCACACAGATCACACATATAAAAAGCTGTAAATGAAACGCAAGCCCAGCAGTCGAGGAAACTTATCAACGTCTGATGGTGAGATGAGGGGAAATGAAAACAGACAGAAAGGCTTGAAGACTCTACAGGGGAAAGAAAGAGTCTGTGCCTAGATATTCCCTCTTTATTTTATCAGAAGTTCTGCCTCCAAACACATTGAGGGATGAGTTATTCCTTCGTGCCGGGCCATACGAAGCGGGGGCTCGGGACAGAGACGCCAGTCCCACCACAATGAGCTGCTTTGGGCTGTGGTCTGGCCTTATGGGCTGCTGGCCAGCTCTCCCTCACCGCTTCCTCCCCAACACAGTTCATCCCACACCCTTAACCCCTCAGTGAGTCTGGGAGGAGGGGGGATGCACAGTGGCTGTCTGGGCAGTTACCTTGAGGTTCTTGACAGGTGGTCTCGGGTAGGCAGGGCGACTGTATCTCCGGCGGGGAATGCAGCATGGGACGCATGGATGGTTCTGGCTGGCCTTATTTCTTGTGCTCTCTCTAATTGTGGGTCTACGGCCGTGGCTGGGGCACTGATTGAACCCACTTGATTGTGGTTTCTGCTTGTCTCAACTAACACTGATAAAAGTAGCATTTCTAATTATCTAGAGATTTTGGATCAAACTAAATTATTTTATTATGTTGTAAAATCCGAATAAAATTATGTCAGTTTTTAGTCAAAAGTTTTAACATATGCATAATATATGTTTTAACATATAACATAATTTCTTCTATTTTCCATGTTCATTTTAGAATAATAGTAAATTAATCGAAAATAAAATAAGACAAATGGAAGTGAAAATGTTGCTTTTGATAACAGCTTTTTTATTTATAAGCTATATATTCTATTCTATTCTATTCTATTCTATATTTTCTCTTATATTAAAATGTTCTATTTTTAATCATTCTAATATGCTGATTTGGTGCTCAAGAAAAATTTCTTATTATTATCAGTGTTGAAAAATGTAGTTATTATATTATATTTATTAAATTATATCTTTTTATTTTCTCTCTCCACAGCAGTCTGGTGGGGATGCATCTCGCTCAGTTCTGCTTCAGGCCGCTGAGTCGGCGTACAGGTTCACTCTGGGCTCCATGGCTGGAGGTGAGTCAGTCACAGATCATTGTGCACCACTCCTTTACCCGAGCCTGCACCAGCAGCAGCCCCTCCTCCACATGAGAGATAGCAGGACTGGACAAAAAGAAAAACAAAGCCTGCCCTATTGCCTTCATACGGGGCTATTTCTCTAGTTTAATGAGGTTATGCACCATGGGAACCTCCTGGGTAGATTCTTTTGTACCTGTCAGTGATCAGAGGTGTGTGTGTTGGACTGTGTGTATGTAAGGAGGTGGTGCTTGGCCTTGTGTTTGGCTCCAGTCTGGCTCTCGGAGGAGACAAGGTAATAAGGAGGTAGTGCAGGGCGACTCACTCTTTAATTAAGCCTGTCGGTGCTGTATCCCCTTTGAGTCCACCCCAAAGTTGTCAGATAAGAATTGACTGATGTGTTCTTCCAAAATATCCTGACTTTCTTCCCGTTCGTTCTTTTTTGTTGTTGTTTCATCAGCCAGCATATCTATTTTAAAGGAATAGTTCACCCAAAAATGAACATTTGCTGAAAATGTACTCCCTCTCAGGGTATCCAAGATATAACTCTTGTTTCTTCATCGGAAGAGATTTGGAGAAATTTAGCATTACATTACCAATGGATTCTCTGCAGTGAACGGGTGCCGTCAAAATGAGAGTCCAAGCAGCTGATAAAAACATTACAGTAGTCCAGTAATTGATCATGTAATTGATCATGTAAATGTAATCATGTAATTGTAAATGAAACAAGTCCCATCATTAAAGCGTTTTAACATTAAACCATTGCTTCTGGCCAAAATACCTGTCCTTAATATATTAATAATAATAATGATCCATAATAATGTTTCTCCCAGTGAAAACTCCTGTTTCCTGTTGTCCTCTTACATCATCATATTTGTTTAGAACTGTTTTGGACCATTTTCGCTTGTATATGGTGCCATTCACTGCAGAGGATTCATTGGTGAGCAAGTGATGTAATGCTTAATGTCTCCAAAACTGTTCTGATGAAGAAACAAACTTATCTACATCTTGGTTGGCCTGAGAGTGAATACATTTCAGATGAACTATTGAACTAATGAACTATTCCTTGAACAGTCGTACTATTCCATATCGTACATAGTTTGAAACAAATTTCCTCTCATGACAGCCTTGGGTGCCACTGCCGTGTACCCCATCGACCTGGTGAAGACCCGCATGCAGAACCAACGTTCTTCAGGTTCCTTCGTGGACGAGCTGATGTACAAGAACAGCATTGACTGTTTCAAGAAGGTCGTACGCTACGAGGGCTTCTTCGGCCTCTACAGAGGTCAGTGGCTTTGTGCAGCCAGGCCATCAGGGACGCACCAACAAAAAGAGTTTTCATGAAAGCCAGGGGCAGGTCATCTTCCCTCTGACCTTACCTGCTTTGAAGAGATTAAGTCTACCTTTGCTGCTCGAGGGGACAATGTGCAGAGCATGAAAGGGCACATACCAGCACAGGAACTTAACAATGAAGAACATGAATGCTCTATATGAATGGTGCTCAGATAATGAGTATCTGCTCTGCTTTTAGAGTTGGAACATGAGTTTTTAAAGCATTCTGAGGTCACAGATTCAAATTGTGATTGCAAGGTGCAATTGCCATGCGACCTCCATTGAGAACACTAACTACTGGTATTTGTCAATCATAAAGCTGACAAAAGAGAGGCTGAGATCTTCATCACCTGTGCAGAATTGTAACAGGGGGATGGTACGGAAATTCTGTGCTCGTTTTAGCAGAGCATATCAGTGCTTTATGACAGAGAGCACTATATTTGAAGTGAGCACTAAGTGCTTTTGTTTTACATATGGATAGTTTAGTTTTTAAACAAGGAAGTGAGCAGTCCAGGCTTTTAGCAAATGCATAAAAATATACTTTAAAGACCAACACAAAGTTTAGTGTACATTTAGTACAGAAGTATCTTTCTCATTCTAGCTTGATGTGAAATGGCAGATTTTTGAGCCACATGATTTTGAATGCATCTTTAATTAGGTTAAACAATTATTGTAGCTAAAAAGAATTTTATTTTATTTGAAATAATTTCAATATTTTCATATTTTTTCAGCTTTTCCTATCAGATCCCTTAATGCAGGACAGTATTAAACATACTTACTATTATTCGAGACACAAATTTGCTCAGGCAAAGTCACGCTGATTGTTTATTGACAAAGTAGATGCTCAGAAATTGGTAAAGAAGACAACAGCCGATGATGTCACTATCCTGGCAAACACAAAACAATCAGCAGCATGCATGAACAATAATTGTTTATGGGGAATTGCAATGGATGATTAAGTTTAAAAAATATTATTTTCTAATTCATCTGCTTGTATATAAACACAAATGCACTCCGTAGGCCATGCATGCAGGAGATTTTTGTGTTTGTGTTCTTCTAACTGTGGCCTATTTACACTTGTATACTATGCCCACATTACTGCGCTTGTTTGTTACTGCCCCCAGCAGTGGGACATCACTTTTAAATCAGATTATTTAGTTTTGTTTTTGTCTAAGCCAGAAATCTGCGTTGTAATTGAGGGCTGTGTAAACTTTGGTTAAGGAAAAAGAGTTTGTAGTACTGTTAAGTTTCCAATATTTAAACACTCCACATCAATAGTGTTCATTAGTGTGTAGATGATATGGAATTGGAGGCAGCACGACAGCTTTTATATTGAGGAAAGTCGTGCTTCCCTCACCCCTGTCTTTTTTAATCAACTTGTTTTCTAATTATAGGCCTTGTACCACAGCTTCTGGGCGTGGCTCCCGAGAAAGCCATAAAGCTTACAGTAAGTGCTCTGCCTTCACCACATCAGCGTGGCCTCTTAAAACCAAAGCCCTTAACTCCTCAGAAATACACCCCTCTGTTTCTCCCGCCGCCTGCTTCAGTGCCCCGCCTTAGCCCCTTGAAAAAGAAGTGAATCTGTTTTCTGTTTGATCCCCTGTCAATGCGGCATACATTCTTGCATTCTTGATTTGGGCATCAGTAGGCTCACTTATACTTTATATCCCACAATTGTGTTTTTTAATCTCACAATCATGGCTTTGTATCTCACAGTATGGCTTCATTGTGTCACATTTACAGCTTTATATCACAAATGTGATTAATGTTTTCTTAGAATTATGCATTTATATTTTACACTTACCATATCTCACAATTGTGGCTTTTTATCCAAAATTCGAACTTTTTCTCAAAATTTTGACTTTTTAATTCTCAGAATTTCCACTTTATATGTCAACATTTCAACTTAATATATCTCAAAATTGCAACTTAATATATACCAGAATTGACTTTATATCTCACAATTGCCACTTTATATTCCAAAATTTCAACTTTAAATCTAACGGCAACTAGACTTGATATCTCACAGTTGACTTCCTCGAAGTTGCAATTTCATATTTTATTTTTCACAATTGTGACTTTATCTCACGGTTGTTACTTTATATCTCAAAATTGCAACTTTATATATCAAAATTGTGAATTTATATTGCACAGTTGCAATTTTATATATTACAATTGTGATTTCTTGTAATTGTGACTTGATATCTCACAGTTGTTTTTTTATTTTTATTCTGAGGCACAAACAGGCTTCTATAGGAAAATCTAAGAATGCACAAAAAGCCATGTCTTATTCACTGACCACCTGCAATCCAGTTTAAACAGGCACCACTGATAGTGGAGACTGCTATAGCTGTGCCCATTTAAATTAAGTCACTTTTGCACATTTTCTTAAGTGAATTTGGTGCTAAAACATTCCCAGTACAATATACAAGATGTGTTCGAATTCTGGAAAAAAAAAAATTGCAGAAATTTCTGCAGATTTCTGTTGGTCCTGAATCTGTGCAGGTGTAAAAAATCTGCCATGCAGTTCTCTTCCTCCAAGAAACTATAGATATCTGATGCTACATTGTTTTTTCCACAGGTGAACGACTTTGTGAGAGGAAAGACTATGAAAAAAGATGGCAGCGTTTCCTATACCTGCTGAAATCTTGGCTGGCGGATGTGTGAGTAGTTTTATGCTTTGATATGCAAACATATAACCATACATAACGCAGTAACCATACACTGACAATAAGGAGTTTAGTTTTGAATGTCAGTGGGCTTTGAGGTCTAAGCCTTGGCCTGAGGGAACACTTCTCTCCTTTTGTGAGGTGACTGAAAAGACACTTCAGCCCCATCACTGTTTAAAAACATGTATAAAGCACTTCTTCTCTGTCATCTCACCTCTAAATCATAGTCTGCCGCATCACGGCTGCTGATTCTCAACCTGCCCCTCACAAGCATGAACAGGGGATCGCTTACCCTTTTCATTAGAAGCGTAAAGGTGAAACTGACATTATTAATACATTGTTTACATGTGTTAGAGTTCATTCTTGATCTGTGTGAAAGCGAATGCCTGAATGATTTCAGAGAGCAGTAGCCTTCCTGTTTGTGTCGTACCTGAGACCTGTCAAAACCAGTCCCTACTTCTTCATGTCTGCCCTGACCCAGGATGCTGAAAGACCCTCTTTCATATGACAGTCATCACTAAAACATTTCTACACGTGTGGGTTTCTATTTAAAAGTGTCACAGACTCTTAGATGATTGCGAGTCTCAATTATACCGACATGAGTGCATTTAACCCACAAGATCTCTGCTCTGAGATTTGAAAAGAGATGGCTACGGAAACATCAGGTTGGTTGCAGATGAAGTCAGCTCAGAAAGGGAGCTTGTGCCACGGAGATGTTTTTCCTCTTCTGATTTCTCTGACAGCTCCTTTCATCTCAGCCCGAATCCCTGGTGTTTGGCCTGGCAGGATCCGCTCCCTTTCTCACGCCTGTACACGCGCCGCTCGCTCAAAGCAGTGTTTATTGACACTGCAGCCACGGCAAATCAAATCTATTTATTTGGTTTGAGAGGGAAAAGACTAGACTGCTGATTTACACACCGTGAATGTTCCTGTCTGAGGGAGGAGAGTAAAAATCACAGAAAACGAGAGAGGGGAAAAGCAAGAGATTGTGAGGGTTGTGGAACTGCGGTGATTAAAATTTCAAGCTCCTCTCTTCTCACATTGCAACCTCTGAATTAGGCCCTTGACAGTTGCCAAGAGTTGATCATTTGGTAAGAACAGCACGCTTCGCTGGCCGTGGAGTTGGCCGGATTCTTATCTGGTTGTTGCTGGCCTTCATTTGAGGGCTGGGTTACTCAAAATACTCGCTTAGCCAACGTAAAGTGCCGTAGAGAGCGGGGGAAAACCGTGGCGTGCATACAGTGACGCTTTGTTTGTTTGCAGTGCTAGTTTTAAAGCTATGTAATTTAGCTTGTCCGTTGTTTCTCAGCATTCGTAAAGGTTTGTTAGTCTGTTGCGAAACTTTTTTTTATCGCAGTGCCCCCATTTCTACATGAAAACGCTTGTGTAATCCCGTTTAAGTGTGTGGAATGTGAGCGAGTATTGATGAAGGGAAGCTAATATTTGTGTCTGGCGCTGAACTATTGTTTTTAGAAGGCTGTAGTGTTTTGTGTTTGTGATGCTTATGTGCTTGGTGTGTGTAAGTATTTGTCTTCAGTTGCGCTCATCTTGCCAGTAAAGTGTGTATTAGGCCCCCCCACCTCAGACATGCACACATGCTCTCAGTGCCTCTGGGGATTACCTTGCCTTGTAATTACCACCGAATTATCGAGCCGACGCTGGCTCACTCTTCACTCAAATCGCATTTCTTGCAGTCACGTTGCAGCGCATGCTTCCCGCTCTTTAAACTGCCTCTCCGCCAGAGGTGATTGATCTGTTGTCTCCTAACCGATGTTCTTGTTTGCTTTTTGGTTGTTCTCTTTGTGTAACTTTTTAAATATCCAATTAGTACCCAATTAATGCGGGTAATAGCCTGGCCCTCTCCTTAGTGCGTAATTCCTTGCCAAAACAAGGGGGAAAAAAGATTGCTTTTGGCCCTGATGCCATAATTAACCATAAAAGATTACTTTCCACATAAATAAGTGGCATTTTCCATGAATAGGGTACAAAATAGGATGCGAAACTCGTAACTACTTAAAAAAAAAAATTGGTCAGTGAAAGGAAGTGGTTTACCTTCAAAAAATGTTGATTTGTGACTTGTGTAATTCTTCTAGCAATAAAATTAATTAAAAATTAAATGGACAACTTTTGCTTTTGAGAACTATTTCCCATAATTAAACACAAAATTGTTTTCCTACATAATTTGAGTATCGGTTTAAGAGTGAGCTTTATGCAATCAACACTACAATTTGTTTAAAAATGAATGATATGAGATGTGATTATTTATCAATGTAATCTGCTTGTCAGAAAGATCCAAATAATGTTACCATTTGGGCGTCACAAATTAAAGGAATATTATATAAATGTTTTAATGGGTGATTTTTTTTCTGTCACAGGGTTGTGTGCAAGTTGTGGTACTCCGCTAAACATTAAGTTTTTATTTTATGAAATTCAAACTTTTTTTCATGACCATGAATTGAATGTCTTTTCATTCAGTTATGAACATGAATTTGTTTTCAAAGATTTTAATAGATTCAATACAGAAGGTTAATTTTATAGATAATTATAGATAGTTCATCTAACATTTCTAAACCCATGGTATTTGTGCCTCCAATACTTAAAAAAAATATAAATGTAGACCAAAATAAACCAAATTCATGAAATGTGCCAACTATTAATGTACACCAAAATAAACCAAATTCATGAAATGTGCCAACTATTAAGTCGGAGCTGTGAGTTCTGAAAGGTAGGAACCCCTTTCTGCATGTCTGAGCTGTAATTTCCTCTGGAAGGAAAGTGCGGGTCATTCTGGTCCATCCTATTTAAAGTGCACCTTCAATGAGATGATAATGATCTTTATTTTTAAATATGCTGCCTCACACTCAATGGGATTTTTAAATGTGCACACTTGTGAGATTCGAGACCAATTTACCAGATTCCCGTAAGATGCACCGTACGTTAATATCTCTGAAAGAATAGAGGAATAAAATCAACAACAAACAAACAGTAAGGCCCTTCTGTATTCAAAAGGAGGGCTGAGGGAAGGAGAAGAAATCCATGGAAACTGATTTCCATCTAATTACTCTGCTCTGTTTTTCTGCGTGTAGCCTCAGTAACTAGGAGCAACAGGAAAGATAGGGCACGGAGGCGGCAAGCGGCCAGCCTCTTTGGCGAGACATGTTAAAATGCTTCTGTTGCAGCCTCAGATGCCGTCACGTCAAAGCCGAACCGTTTCAAAGAGCTCAGAGGAACCGGTTTCAACCTGTAAATCCTTTCTTTCTGCCTCACAAGTACAAGGTTGGAGACATGAAGTTGTTTTTTGAGAGGCCCCCAGGGGCCTGTGTTCTGTGTGATGTTTCAGGCACCGTCTGTCTTTGGCAGGTATAACCTCCTCCTCCTCCTTCAAAGAGTGACAATAGCACAGTCATTCTTAGGTCCCGGTTTAAAGAATTGTCCTCTTGTAATGTGAATATCACATTACTTCCCTCTTGACATTTAAAAAAAAAAATTGTTACTTTTTTTTTTACTTTACTTTGGGTTCATCAGAACGTATTTACAACTGTAACATCAAACTTACCTCACATACGTACATACATACATCTGTACATACGTTCAGCAATAATTTTTTCCTCATTTACCCTTCTCACTCACAAACATGAATTTTAATGAAGCTCTGTGAAAACCTTTATGTTTGTGTTGTTGATCTTCAGGCTGGGGGATCTCAGGTGATCTTCACAAACCCTCTGGAGATCGTGAAGATCCGACTGCAGGTAGCAGGAGAAATCACCACAGGGCCACGCGTCAGCGCTCTCTCTGTCATCCGTGACCTGGGTTTCTTCGGCCTGTACAAGGTGTCACATTCACACAAAAAAAACCTGAAACCTAATTCGCATATGTCAGATACATCTGCTATGTGCTTAAAGTACGATGTGTACTTCACTGGTACATATTTTTGCTTATGTAATAAAACATTAAAAGAGTATTGGGAAATATTACCCCATATAAAACTGTTGCAGAAGTGTTTTCATGCAAATTGTCAGCATTTAGCGAAATTCAGTGTTCATTGCATTGATTACCTATTTATATTTATATTAAGAATTTAAGAAAATAAGAAAGTAAAAAAAAAAAGTTTAGAAATTATGACTTTTATTCAGCAAGGATGCATCAAATTGATCAAAAGTGACAATGACAACATATATAATGTTATTCAATATATAATGCTATTTCAAATAAATGCTGTTTTTTAAACTTTCTATTCATCACAGACTCCTGAAAGAAATGTGACACATTTTCCACAAAAATATTAAGAAGCCCAACTGTTTTTAACATTGATAATAATAAGAAATGTTTCTTGATATTTAATCATATTTAAAAGATTTCTGGAGGATCATTTGACACTAAAGACTGGATGGCAGCTAAAAATTCAGCTCATTTTAAAATATATTGAAACAGAAAACAGGTTTTTTTTTTTTTTTTTTTTTTTAATTTTTTAAAAATA